TGTACTACAAAGCACAGTCCCTATATACAATATATAGGGTCTGTGTACAAAGTAAGCCACAAAAATGAATAGCAATTATTATACTATACAGACATCTATACAGATTTAGATGATTTATTGTCAAAGTAAACCATAAAGAAATATAAAATGGAATTGGTTTTAATGCAGGTTAATATTTACAAATAAATGTCAACAAAAGCGAGCTTGCTGTTTGTAGTTGATTCCACAATCAACTATTTAGGGGGTTGGTAGAGGGCGCCACAATTACCCAACGCAGACAATAAAGATTTCCACACGACTACCATTAAAACAATGGTATATTTATTTGGCTTCTCTCTGCTGATCTGGTGACTAAGCATAAAACAACAATATCTAATTAACATCAGTTAATTACATCATGTAAACAGTAATCATAATCATAATACATACAAAGTACCAAGAATTGCAAGTGAATCGTCTTCTGAGATCATAATTCTGTATATTGTAGAAATGTATAAATTTACTGCAAAGAACCATCGGAATGAAAGTGGATTATTAAACATTATCAATTAAATATAAGAGTTTCATTCAGTAATCGAGTACAATATTAATAAAGCAAAGCATGACTCATAATCATAATATAATAATAAGCACTGCAGTGTCAGTCAATATTATAGAGTACACTTACGAAACTATGGCGCAACTATCCAATAATAAGCAATAAGCACTCATCTGCCATCACAATGTTTTTAGGAATGTACATCATCTAATACATAAAACAAATCTGTTTGATAATATACTCAGTAGTGACACTGTTAGATACATGGGTATCATCAAATCATGAACCCATCGGCTTAAACAATAAATCAACATTTGCCGGTACTTGAAAAATAAATCACTAAAAATACTGTGTTAATCATTAGGCACGTTTACTATAGATTAACCTTCATGAAATAATCACAGCAATATAATATATAATAACACTATCGACAGACTTGTAGACCTTTATAATACTCGCTGCTATATGCCAATGGGCGCAGCCATATTTGATTATGTTTTAAGATGACCTTTGACATGAGCGTGAAACAATCAAAGAGAACAGAGATGCCCGTTCCACAGCAGGATGCAGGCTAAGACAATGTATGCCGTACAATACATATAACTCAAATAACATTAAACTGCATAAATCAATCTTACTCATGCTATATGTCATAACTTAGGTTAAATTGGGCAGTTGTTACCAACTTACCACTACAACTAATACTTTAGCATAGTAAATTTAAATACCTAATACTGTAACTTGTTTACACCAAAGGATCAAGAACAAGCAGTTAGAACAAATGAATATACAAGGCAGTTGCATCCTCGTTAAACTTCACCTAACTTAGGCTGTATTCATATAACAAGAGACTTTCAATGCATTAAAGGCAGTAATTAATACACTAAGTAACTAATCTTATAACACTATAAATATAAAAGGTAAAATAAAACATACCATAAATGTACTTGAATCACATAATAAGTGAGTGGTCAAACACACGTCTGATCCCGATCACATTCAGGAGGCCACTGATTCGCGCTAATTTTTTAGACGCTACTGACCCACGCTATCATTATGTAATGAGTGACGAAATACAAATTTCTGCCCTCTATAATGGGTTAAGAAACCTTTTACACTGTTAATCATACCTAAATCATATACAGTATATTCCTTTTTATGATGATGAAATAATAAAATGCTTAAAAACCCCCTTTTAAATATATCCCTGTCTTACTACTTTGAGTCAGATTATTTACGCAGATTCAAGTTTATAAAAAAAATTAAATATATACCAAAATAATCAATCTGACTCAGTGCATCTTATTCATTTAATGGATGCCCATAGGTGTATTTATAATATACACTTTGTTGTGTGCTTGTTAGGTTTTTTTTATACAGAAAACCCAGAAAAAATATACAGGTACTAAAGAAAGAATAAACAAACTTGCAAATATCAAAATTTATGAAAATCAAAGAAATACAAGTTGATAGCAGGGGCGTACCGTGGGGGGGTCGATGGGTGCTGTCGACCCCCCATTTTAAAGAAAGTGCCCTTTAAATAGATTTTTCACCGTACGCCCCTGGATAGGCTGTACAAAAAAGCCCCAATAGATTGAAAAGTAACATTTTTAACATCAATATGCAAGAAAGTAACATGTATATGCATTATATGATTAAAAACTTACACTACAAAAATATGAAATCATAAGATCAATAGTGTGTGATTCAAATTTGATGAGAACTACAGTATAAACAGTTGAGGTTGGCAGATTACAGTATTAATGTTTTCAGTTTAATAACTTCAACTCTATAGATATCATTTATGTAGAATAATTAATATTTTAACAGTTTAAAAAAACCCCACAACTTCAGCTCTATGTATATCATATTCAATAATGAAATATTTTAACAAGTTTATAGACAGTATGCCAACTTTATATTTCGATATTATTTTATTAAATAATTATTTTAAGTTTATGATTCATAACTTAACTCTATGTGGATGATATGAAATAATGGATATGTAGATATTCCTACACTTATAAATTTGAATTGTTGAAAACACACAAGTGAAGCAAGTGGACTGTCAATATTTAATAATTGAATATTTTTACTGTTTTGTCACCACGATTTGCTACTGCAAGTCTCCTTGGATGATATGAAATGATGGATAATCCCCTTGGATCGTTGATTCTATCTTCTGGTTTATCAATTCTTTTTATGAAATTTCCATCACTACTGAATAGCTGTAGTTTCTGTTGACTTGATATAATGATGTTGTCATCCTCATCAACTACTATTGCACTTGGAGAATTTACCTTACCATCCTCATCACCTGCTTCAACAAGGACTTTTATAAACCTTCCCTCATTATTAAATAATTGTAATCTACTGTTGCTATACTCCAATACAAGAAGGTGTCCTTGGTTAGTAAGAGTAACATCAGTGACATAACTCATTTGACCTTCTTTTGTACCTTGTAAGCCTATTGTTTTGATGGTCTTGCCATTATTCATGTCAAACATGTACACACAGCTATTGGACCAACCACTTGCTGCATACAAAACATTTGATGTCTCATCCACATGAATGCTCCGTGGTGTATTCTGTACTTCCTCACTAATTGTTTTAATCAGCTGACCATTCATATTGCATATTCTGATAGGTTTATAATTGAAATCACTGAATGCTATGTTACCATTCTTCATTTTGTACATTCTGTCAACTTTCACACCTTGTGGTAGTGTAACCTTACCAATATATTCTCCTGATTGCTTGTACTTGAGCATTTCATTTGTCAGACATGAAACCAGTAAGGAGTCATCTTTACACTTAACTACATCTATAATACTTGTTGCATTTATTTGAATAGTATTTACTAATCTTCCCTCTTCTACTTTGATTGTCATTGGTGATTGGTTAATTGGTTCATCATCAGCACTCACATCTAGTTTACAAACTCCTGGACTTGTGAATTTTCCTTCCACAAAATAATCTCCATTGTCATCTTCTTGAATTTGAGAGATGTTGGTGTCCCCTGTAGGATGTGTCCATGTTGCCCTCAGTTGATTAGCATATATTTCATGTTCATCTGTTTTGACTATTTTGACTATAATTGTCTGATCT